ACGTTGCCTTAACATTGAATTAAAAACAAAAACTCACACAAAAAAGACCTAAAAATCTTGCATACGGGAGATTTTCCAGAACTAAGATTCGTTCATTTCTTTAGCTAGCTCGAGGAGAGAAAACTGCACATCCTAAATCACAGGCAGAAATTTGAGAAAAAGACAATCAACGCGCGCCCAACGTGGGGCTCGAACCCACGACCCTGAGATTAAGAGTCTCATGCTCTACCGACTGAGCTAGCCGGGCGCTACGGCCAAGCTCTTCGAGAACGCTTACTTCTAGGCGTGGCTGAGTTTGTTTTTTTTTGTGTGTGTGTGTGTGTGTGTGTCGGCTCGGCTGTTTCTTGTTTCTGTGTGGGTCCAAGCCGGCCCGGTCCAGCGGGGTCCAACCACTCCCTTTCCCCCCCAATCCGGGGCAGATGCGCGGGTGAAGGCGCTCGCGGAGTGCAGCTCGTCGGTGGGCGAGGCCGGGGAGCACAGCCAGGGCTCCCGGCTCGGCCGCTGCAGACCCCGCGCCGCTTCGGGCCACAGGTTGCCCCGGCAACGTGGCTTGCGCAAAAGAGAAAAAGAGGCGCGACCGAACCGCGCTGGAGATGCCGGGGATCGAACCCGGGGCCTCATACATGCAAAGCATGCGCTCTACCACTGAGCTACATCCCCACCTGCTACTGTAGCCGCGCGTGGCGCTCTTGGCGCTGGCGCCGGCGGACGCGGGGCTGCAGCTACGCGAGGAACCGCAGAAGCTGCACGATGCAAACCGCAGCGGCCGAGCCCGACAGGCACCCGCAGCGGGGACGGGCCGGGACCGAGCCCGGCTGGCCGCCTACGGAAGCGAGGGGGCGACTGCGGCGGCACGGGCCCACCCCGAACCTTCCCCCAGAATTTCCGGAATTGCACGATTGAGCCCTTGGGATGGGGGAAAGGGCTTTCCGCTGCAAGAGTTGGAGGTATCTTCAGACGTTTAAATTAAGACACTTTGTTTACCAAGTTGTTCATAATAGACCTGCTTCAGGCACTATACAATGTTTCAACACCAATCCCACCACCAGCATCCCCTTCCCTTCACCAGTGTCCCCAGTTTCCTTGTTTCTCCTCCAGCTTACCCCCACTTAACTGGCACATATAAAAGTTATTTCATACTGCTTGCTCCTTCCAAAGTCAAAGGTGTGACCCATGGAATGATCAGAACATCAGTAAAGGCCAATTTGGGATGATCAATTGCTATCCGACTTTAACATACATAAATAAAAACAAACAAAACAAACACTGTCCTCCCGTTGTTCATCGATTTGCTCGAGTGGGCCCAATAACATCTCCATTTTGAGACTGTTACTGTGTTTGGCATATTGGCATATAGACATAAATACATTCGAATAATTTAATATAATAGAATGCCGGTTCTCCTTTACATACGGAAACGTTCAACTCTGACAATCTAAAATATATGCATTCTATTCTATTTACTTGAATCTGGTTTTATGGAAATATCCCTGTCAAACATAAACCTTTAAAATTTTAAAACTCTCTGCCAGTATAGTTTAGTGGTTACAGGAGATAGGTCAAAGCTAGAAATGTAAATTTTAGTAAGAGCATTTGTACCAGCTTTCAAGCAATTCAATGCAAGAAAAAGTGGTCTGAGTCGCTACTCAGTGCTAAACACTGTTCCAGAAGACATGAATCAAATTCCAGCCGTGAGTCAAATGGACCCTCTATCCCTGCCCTAGAATAATTCACAGTTCCAGGAGGAATCGAGCTCAGCAAATACAAACAAGAAGAATTGGACAATTTAAGACAGTGTGGACCCAAGCAGACAAAATGTCATTAAGAAGAATGGCATTTGAAACAAGATGTGAAGCAGTTGAGAAGTTAATCTTGTAAGGGAGAAAAATGAGGGGCCAGGGGCGGGGTCATAGTACTGCAAGCACCCCATATGGTTCCGTCCCTTCCAGGGGTGAGAGTCCAGCCAGGAAGAACAAAATAACAAACAAAAGAAGTGCAGGACCAAAGGCTGGAGGTAGGATCTTTCTGTTCTGTTGCAAGAATAACAACAAGGTTGTGAGAATTTAAAATTGTGTGGAAAGGATTCAGAGCAGAAAGTGGAGATCTGGGTGAAGGCAGCAGAAAGGAAAGATGAATGAGACCTTTAGGCTTTTAAGACTTCACTTTTAATTTTCAGATTGTTTCTCGTTTGGTTTGAGGCCACACTGGGCAGTGCTCAGGACTTACTCCTGACTCTGCAGTCAGGGATCACTCCTGGCAGGCTTGGGGGAACATAGGGGATCCCAAGGATTGACCTTGGGTTGGCCACCTACAAGGCAAAGGGCCTGCCTACCCACTGTGCTATCTCTCTGGCCTGACAGACACATTTTAAATTTTAATGGTTGTAGAGTGGGGCGTGGTAGGACAGTGGGTAAGGTCCTTGCACCTTGCAGTGGCTGACCTGGGTTTAGTCCCTAGCATCGCTTTTGCTCCCCTGAGCACTTGCAGGTGTGGCCCCAAAACAAACAAAAAGTGTAGTTTGTAGAGTTTTTCAGGGTTGTTGACTCTTTGGTTTGGGCCTACAGCTGACTGGACCTCTCTTTCCAGGTTACTGGCATAGCCAAGGCCTTTGGCCCTAATTTCTTTCCTTCTCTGGCTTTCTCCCTCTGCTCTGGGATCAAGGCTGACCTAGGCTCTACCCTCTGCATTATTGCTCTGGCCCACAGACTGTATTTTTATTCAGGAAGATGGCAACCCTCTGCTCAAACAGAAGGATTTGAGCAAAAAAGATTTGGTTTAACACATTAACAAGTTGAATGTGTTGGCTGGACACGGAAGATTGGACAGGGCAGAGGAGAGAAGCGTTCACCAGATATCTGGAGGTGAGGCAGAGGAGGGGGTGAGAGGAAGAAGATGCTGGGTGGGGTGTTGCATTTGTTTTTCCTTTGGAGTAACAAAGGACACCCTGGTTTTGCATTGAATAGCTGGAGTGTGGTGGTATTGTTGTTCCATGTTGGGGGAGTCCCCATGGAATACTCCTTGGCTCTAAGAAAAAAAGTAATTTTTGAGTGCAGAATCAGGAGTAATCCCTGAGCATCTCTCTGTGTGACCCAATGAGCAAAAAGGGAAAAAAAAGAGAGAAAAAAGTAAAAGAAAAGAAAAGAAAGTGGGATGAGTGGTTGAAAGGTCAGAAAATACAGTTGCTGGTTTTTGTTTGTTTGATTTTGGTTTTTGGGTTTGGGGTTACATCTTGTGATGCTCAGTATACTTCTGGCGCTGTACCCAGGAATTACTCATGGCAGTGCTCAGGGGACTATATCTCGGATGACGGGATCAAACCCCCAAACCAGCCATGTGCAAAACAAACATCATATTCACTGTGCTGTCTCTCTGACCATGTAGAGAGTTGTGAACATTTTGACATGGGTCAGGCCATAGAAGGAGCCTGGAGCCCAGTTATCCCAGGGGTCCCAGACGGGGACTATGGATGCTGGAGACCATGGAGAGAACTTTCAAGCCAACGAGTGGAAGAGGGGCCCAAACCATGGTACAGTGGGGTAGGACATTTGTTCTGTAGGGTCCCCCAGGCGCCACCAGGAGCATGGCCACAAATATCACTGGGAGTATCACCGGGTGTGGTCCCCAAAGCAAGAACAAGTTGAAGGAAGTGTAGACAGAGGTGCAAGGTCTAGAGGCATGTGGGAAGACTAAGAACTTTCATCTTTGTTAGCACAGCTGAGGTTACCAGTAAGGAGCCAAAACTTGAATTGACCAGCACTAGAGGGAGTCAGACGTGGGAGGGCAGGGAGCCAAATATAAATGTCAGGGGTGTGTGTGTGTGTGTGTGTGTGTGTGTGTGTGTGTGTGTGTATGCACCCCCGTTGCTTTTTATTTTGTTTTAAGGTAAGGATAGCACCCAATAAAATGAGTCAATTGTCATCTGTTCTTTGTGCAAAAAAAAAAAAAGGGGGATAAATTGGAGAAGCACCAGGCGCCTGAGCTGTAGAAGTGTGTCTCAGGCCAGGCGTCCGGCTGGTGGGACTAGAGCAGGGTTCCAGCCCTAAATTTAGCTCAGCACAGGGCTGAGACCAACCCTCCCCTGGGGAAACTGATCCGCTGAGCGGAGTGCCAGGGCTTGCTCGGGGAGTGGTGCCCGGCGCGCACCTGTCCGGGCCCGTTTCCCACGGCCTGACCGGGGCAGGTCGGGGCGCGCTGGGGGCTGGGCCGAGCCTGGGCTGGGGGACTGCAGGGGCGGTGACCGAGGTGGCCTGACACCGTGAGCGGCAGTGCTGGGATTCGGGTGCAGATCCGCAGCGAGCGCGCGCCCCGACCCCGACTTGGGCTTTTGCCCGGGGAGCGGGTTCCTGGGGCGCCTCCAGGTCCGGCGCAGCCGCGTCGCTTGGAGTCAGGGACTGTCGGGGAGGGTCGGGGAGTGTCGGTGAGAGTCGGGAGAGTCGGGGACAGTAGGGGAGAGTCGGGGACTGTTGGGGACAGTCAGGGAGGGTCCAGGGACTGTCGGGGACAGTTGGGGACAGTCAGGGACAGTTGGGGAGTGTCTAGGGACGATCGGGGAGGGTCGGAGAGAGTAGGGAAGCGTCGGGGAGTTTCTGTGAGAGTCGGGGAGCGTCGGGGACAGTTGGGGACAGTAGGGGAGTGTCCAGGGACTGTCGGGGACAGTAGGGGAGAGTCGGGATTGTCGGGAAGTTTCGGGGAGCGTCGGGGAATATCTGGGAGAGTAGGGGACCTTCGGGGACAGTTGAGGAGTGTCCAGGGACTATCGGGGAGGGTCGGAGAGAGTAGGAGAGCGTCGGGGACTATCTGGGAGACAGTGGGGGGACAGTAGAGGAGTGTCCAGGGACTGTCGGGGAGAGTAGGAGACAGTAGGGGAGAGTCGGGGACTGCCGGGGACAGTAGGGGAGTGTCCAGGGACTGTCGGGGACAGTCGGGGGGGCATCGGGGAGAGTCGCAAAACGTCGGAGGGGTGTCCGACTGTCGTGACCGTCGGGGCCGCGCACGCTGCGATGGCCGCCGTGGGCCCGCGGGCCGGGCCGGGCGCCGGGGCGGAGGCGCTGGCCCTGGCGGCCGAGCTGCAGGCCGAGGCCACATGCGCCATCTGCCTGGAGCTGTTCCGCGAGCCCGTGTCGCTCGAATGCGGCCACAGCTTCTGCCGCGCCTGCATCGCGCGCTGCGGGGAGCGCCGGGACTCCCGCGCCGCGCCCGCGCCGCCGCCGCCGTGTCCGCAGTGCCGCGAGCCCATGCGCGCCGCCCAGCTCCGGCCTAACCGGCCGCTGGCCGCGGTGGCCGCGCTGCTGCGCCGCTTCGGGCCCGCCGGGTCGGGGAGCGCGGCCCCGGGGGGCCCCGGCGCGCCCGCCTGCACGCTGCACCGCGAGCCGCTCAAGCTCTTCTGCCAGGACGACGGGCGCGCCATCTGCGTGGTGTGCGACCGCGCCCGCGACCACCGTGACCACGCCGTGTTGCCGCTGGACGAGGCCGTGCAGGAGGCCAAGGTGAGCGCCGGCCTGCCCACTCCGACCCGCCCGGTCCAGACCGGCCCTCCAGACCCGCCCAGCCCCGGCTTCGCGCGCACCCTGTGCAGGCCACGAGCAGCAGTCTTGCAGCAGTCTCGGCCACCAAAACCTCACTCCACTTTCCTCGACGTTTCCTGCGTAGCTGATCGCTGCTTTTCCCCTCTCCTCTGCTATCGCAGAAATTCCCACCAACACCAGTGAAAAACCAAGCGCCCCCCCCTTGAAAAGCGGGGAAACGCTGTTTTCCTGTCCAATTGGTGTGGGTTTGGGGCTGCACCGGAGGTGCTCAGGGCTGACTCCAGGCTCTGCACTCGGGGATCACTCCTGCAGGTGCTCAGGGCCACGTGGGACGTCCGGGTCTGGCTCAGCTCAGACAAGGCAAGCACCCTGCCTACTTGGGCTCCCCTGTTTTGTTTTTCTTCTGCGTTTGGGCCACACCCGGCAACATTCAGGGGTTACTCCTGGTTCTGTGGTCGGGAATCACTCCTGGCTGTACTGGTGGGGCTGGGGGTGGGGGTGGGCATCAAACCCAGGGATCAAATCAGGGTCAGCTGCATGCAAGGCAAAGCCCTCTCTGCTCTGACTATTGCTGTGACCTCCTGCCCACAATGTTTCTTTGCACCATCTCAGCCCCCACAGAGGGCCTTTATGGTGGTGGGTAGATGAGCAGGAGGAGAAGACAAGGCAGGTTGGCATGCTGGGATTGTGCCCAGTTAAGGTGACACTTGGACAGATGCCACCCTGCAATTGCTCTATCCACTTTGGACAAGCTAGGATCCAGCCTGAGTGGGCATGACTTGGCAGGGCCTTCCTTCTTTTGTCTGGCTGCTGGAAAGCCACCTGTAGGAGCACTGCAGGGTGTGGCCCGAACAAAACCAACCTACCAGGGACCAGAACGCTGGTACAGTGGGGAGAGCACTTTGCCTTGACCGTGGCTGACCTAGGTTCAGTCCCCGGCACTCCATAGGGTCTTCTAAAAGTCCTCTGAACATCACCAGTTGTGGCCCCAAACCCAAAAGCAAATAAAACAAACAGAAAACAGAAAACGCCGCGTGAGAGGGATTCACACAATGACCCCTTTTCAAAACGCCGCGTGAGAGGGATTCACACAATGACCCCTTTTCATTCCCCCCGACCCCCCAATGCCCCAGGAGCTCCTGGAGACCAGGCTGAAGGCTTTGAAGAAGGATCTGGAGGACTTTGAGGTGTTCCGTTCCACAGAAGAGAAAGAGAGCGCCGAGCTTTTGGTGAGCCAAGAGCAACCCCTTACAGGAGGCCTGCCCACCCTCACTTGATGAGGGGCCTGTGAGCAGCAAGGTGGATTTTATTTTATTTATTGATTTTTGGGCCACACCCAGCGAGCTATGCTCCTGGTTCTGGAATTACTCCTGGTGGTGCTCAAGCTATAGTTTCTGGTGGTGCTCAGGGGGATCCTATGGGATGCCGGGAATTGAACTGAGGTTGGCCTTGTGCAAGGCAAGTATTTTACTGCTGTGCTATTGCTCTGGCCCCTACAATGGCGGTGCTCAGAATCTTACAGGATGCCGGGGTTAAAACTTGGGTTGATTGTGTGCAAGGCAAGCACCTACCCGCTGTACTAACACTCCAGCCTCTGTGTTTTTGTTTGTTTGGTTTTGGGTCACATGGGGCCGTGCTCAGGGCTTGCTCCTGGCTCTGCACTCAGGGATCATTCCCTATTGGGGTTGGGGGACTCTAAGGGGTCAGCTACATTCAAGACAAGTGCCTGGGTGCAGATTAAAAAAAAAAAAAAGGTGTTCAAGTATACTAAGTACTAAGAAGGACTAGAAATCCCTGTAATTTTCCTGCACGTTTTGCTGTCCAAAATGTTATAACAAAATGTTTTTCCAGATTTAGAGGGTTATTTTATAGACATTGGAATTGAGGCTAAGCGTGAAAGGGCATTTAGGGGTCTGGCGGCTTCTGCAGACAGGGAAGGGGCAGGTTGGGGACCCAGTTTCCCGGAGCCCCTTCCAGCCGCGGTGCGCAGTGCCCCCTGGCGGAGAGTGGTCAGATGCTATTTCGGAGGCTCTGGAAAGTGAAAGTGGACCTGCTTGCGGTAAGGGGGGCTAAACCCTGGTCAAAAAAACCGCGCAAATTCAGTTCCCAAATAGCAGTAGGTACCATGAAGGGGCCTTGTCTGCCCTTGGTAGGGCAGGGTCTTTCAGTTTCAGTTTTGGGAAATGGAGACGAGAAGAACCTGAAGATGTGTCTGCTTCAAGGTGGAAGTCAGGGAGAGAGCAGGACCCCAGATTCCTACCCTGAACCTCATCTTCAGGGGTACACCTGCTAACCTAAATGTACCCCCAGATTTTCCATCTGAACCTTCAAGCCCTTCCGAAAATGTCTGGAGATATTTTTGGCTGTGGACTCTGGCACGGGGGATGCTATTGGCATTTATTTTGACTTTGGGGTCACACCTAGCGATGCTCAGGGGTGGCTCAGGAATCACTCCTCAAGGATGCTCAGAGATCAAACTGAGGTGGGCTGAGTGCAAGGCAAACACCCTACCTGCTGTACGATTGCTCCAGCCCTAAACACTGATTTAAAGCTGAACTTCTTAGAATGGAGAAGGTATTACTAAGAGGTGGTGTACACGTTTTTGCAAACTTTGGCTTAGATTCCTAAACATTTATGATCCCCTGAGCACTCAACTGGGGACATCCTGAATATCTCCAGAGGTGACCCTACACCATTGAAAAACTTTTAAAAAGGCTAGGGTTTCGTTGTTGTTATTGCTGTTATTTGTTTTATTTTGGGGCCACAACTCATGATGCTAAGGGCATACTCCAGGCTCTGTGCTCAGGGATCACCACTGGCAGAGTGGGGATATGTATTGGGTACTGGGGATCGAACTCAGGTCAGTCGAGTGCAAGACAAGTGGCCTGATCACTGTACTATTACTCTGATCCCCAAACCTAGTTTCTTTCCTTCCTTCTTTTTAATTTTGGTTTGTTTTGGGGTCACACCCAATGATGCTCAGGGGTTATTTTTGGCTCTGCACACAAGAATAAATCCTGGCTGTGCTTGGGGATCATATGGGATGCCAGGGATCAAACCCAGGTTGTCTGTGTGCCAGGCAAGTGCCCTACCCGCTGTACTATTGTTCTGGCTCCCCCAAAACTAGTTTCTGACTGTGGGTTGTGACCCCATATGGGGTTACAGAACTTTTAAAAAAGTTGTTTTAGGGACCAGGATGATAGTACAGCAGGTAGGGTGCTTGCTTTGGGTGTAGCTGACTGGGTTTGATCCCTGGCACCCTACATGGTTCCCTGAGCACCGCTAGGTGACTTCTGAGTGCAGCTCATAATGTTGTACCTTGCTAATGGCTAACCCAGGTTCGATCCCTGGCATCTCTTATGGTCCCCTATGCCTCACCAGGATTGATTCCTGAGCACAAAGCTGGGAGTAAGCCCTGAGCACTGCTGGATGTGGTCCCAAATTAGAACAAGAAAGGAAAAAAAGATCTAAAGAGATACATGTGCACATCTGTGATAGGGACTGGGGTTTGGCAGAAACAGGAACGGAGGTTGCTGTACCCTGAGTTGGGACACTTAAATGCTGACCTTGCATGTTCATCTCATATGTTCCCCAAGCACCACCAGGAGTAATTCCTGAACATTACTGTCTGTGCCCCCCCCCCCCAGCAAACAATAAATATTGTGTTCAGCACCTATGCCAATGTCTCTGTCTGCTCCACTTCATCTCTCCAATGTCTCACCTGATGGTCCAGAAGCAGATGACCGCTGAGCGGGAGAAGGTAGGGGCTGAGTTCCAGGCACTTCGGGCCTTCCTGGTGGAGCAGGAGGGCCGGCTGCTGAGCCGCCTGGAGGAGCTGTCCCGGGAGGTGACGCAAAAGCAAAATGAGAACCTGGCCCAGCTTGGGGGCCAGATCACCCACCTCGCAAAGCTCAGCAGCCAGCTACAGGAAACAGTCTGCAAGCCCGACCTCGACTTCCTCCAGGTGAGTCTGGCTCTGATGGTGCAGAAGTTTCCACCCAAAGACAGCACATCTTTGGCTTTCAGCACATCTTTGGCGTTTGATTTTATTTTTTATTTTTTATTTTATTTTTTCTTTTTTTTGCTTTTTGGGTCACGCCTGGCGATGCACAGGGGTTACTCCTGGCTCTGTACTCAGGAATTACTCCTTGCGGTGCTTGGGGGACCATATGGGATGCCGGGAATCGAACCTGGGTCGGCCACGTGCAAGGCAAACATCCTACCCGCTGTGCTATCTCTCCAGCCCCTGATTTTATTTTTTAATTAATTAATAAAACATTTTTTGGACTTTTTCTTTTTTTTGCGGGGGGGGGGTCACACCTGGTTATGTTCAGGGGTTACTTCTGGCTCTGCATTCAGCAATTACTTCTGCTGGTGCTTGGGGGACCGTATGGAATGCCTGAGATCAAACCTGGGTTGGCTGTGTGCAAGCAAATGCCTTTCCCGTTGTACTGTCACTCTGACCCTTTTGGTTTTAGCTTTTGGGTCACACCTGCCAATGCTTAGGGCTTACTCCTGGCTCTGCACTCAGGGATCACTCCTGGTGGGGCTCAGGGAAGGGGACCCTCTGAGGTGTCAGGGATCAAATCCAGGTCAGCTTCATGAATGCCAAGCACCTCACCCATTGTACCATCTCTTTGACCCCCAGTTTTCTTTTCAGAGGAGAGTGAATGTTTCTTGAGGCTGATGTGGTTTTATTTTTCTTTGCAGGATTTCAAAAACACACTCAACAGGTAAGTGGATCTCACAGTGCCTTGAGCTTCTCCCGTCTGCTTCTCCTCCTCCCAGTTCTTTGCTCTCTCATTTCCTGACCCTTCCCCTAGCCCACGGTTACTCTGATACAGCTTGCTCCTCCCCCACACCCTTCCTGCTGTGCTGGGGATTGAACCTGTGACCCCACAAGTATAAGGTAGGTTTTTAACCACTGAGCTAACACTCCGGACTCCAGGCTGTCCATTTTCTCTCTTCTGAGCCTGGATTTACACTCAGGGTTTACTCCTGACTGTGCTCAGGGATCCCTCTGGACGGAGCTCAGGGGACCCTATGTGATTGTGATGCCAGGGATTGAACCTGGGGTGATTACCTGCCAGGCAAGCAATCTACCCACTGTATTATCACTGCAGCCCCATGAGGTGCTTTATTTTTTTTCATTCTTTTTTTTGGGGGGGGGGTACCTGGCTGTGCTCAGGGTTTATCTCTGGCTCTGCGCTCAGGGGTTAGTTTTGGCCAGAGATCAGGGGACCATATGGGGTGCCAGGGATCGAACCAGGGTTGACTGCATGCTCTGTCTGTTATCTGTCTGCTTCTCCTACCTCTCCTTAGCAAGTTCTTCTTTAACATCCTAAATGTTAAAGACCATGTGCAGTGGGACCGAGCTGGGGACCCTTCTCAAGAGTCTCATCTTGCAGATGTAGCAATGTGCCTGCCCCCAAGCCCACCACAATTGCTTCTGAAATGAAAAGTAAAGTATGGAATGTCTCCCTCAAGACCTTTGTCCTCAAGGGACTATTCAAGAAGTTTAAAGGTAGGGGCCTGTGGTATGGGGGGGCACTGGGTCATTCTGTGGTCGGTGCTGAGGGATGTCTCTGGTCTTTTGGGGTCCCGAGTATGTGCCTTTTCAGAAACTGTAAGGAGAGGGCCCAAGCAATAGGATGGCAGGTAAGACACTTGATTGCCGTACATGTGGACAGTTCAGGTTCAATCCCTGACACCCCATAGGATCCTCCAAGCCCCTCCAGGAGTGATCCCTGAGTGCAGAGTCAGGAGTAAGCCCTAAGCACTGCTGAGCACAAAATAGAAAATGATCAGATCAGTGTGGGATGGTGATGGTGGCAACTGACCAGGTCCACCTAGGGCAGAAAGTGGGGGTTGACCAGGGGGAAGAGTATTGGGGGCACCAAGAAGACTGAAAAAAGATGTCAGCTCAGATCTGCTCCAGATAAAATATATTAGAACAGAGGATTGGCGCGACAGTATAGTGGGTAGGGAGCTTACCTTGCACACGGCTGACCCAGATTCAATCTCCAGCACTGTTAGGAGTAATTCCTGAGTGCAGAGTCAGAAGTGATCTTGAGCATCACTGGGTGTGGTCCATAAAGAAACAAAAAACTTAGAATATTCTAGGGTATTCTAGAATATTCTAGAAGAGTCTTCCCCCATTCCAGGATTGTGCGATTCGGGTTAAAGATTGTGTCACTGTGTCTGTCATGTTAGTCGACAGTCTCCTCCATCATTCATGTGCATTCTGTTTTGTTCACCTTCTTAGAAGATCTTCGTGGAGAGCTGGAGAAAGAGGAGAAAGGTACGCTGGGGTAGTGAACCCTGGGAAGAATCTCTGCCTGGGTTAGCGTCAGAGCTGGGGACTATGCCATCTCCCCCTCAAGTTCTCCCTCAGGCCTCTCCCTCATGCCAGTGGGCTGTGGACTTTCCTCCCTAGCTCAGACAATGTCCCATCTCCTGCGCATGTTGTGTGTGTGTGTGTGTGTGTGTGTGTGTGTGTGTGTGTGTGTGTGTAGGGGTCAGGGACAGCAGATCTTTTAAAAAAATTTTTTTTGGGGGGCTGGAGCAATAGCATAGCGGGTAGGGCATTTGCCTTGCACACGGCCGACCCGGGTTCATTCCCAGCATCCCATATGGTCCCCTGAGCACCGCCAGGGGTAATTCCTGAGCACTGAGCCAGGAGTAACCCCAGTGCATTACCAGGTGTGACCTAAAGAGCAAAAAAAAAAAAATTTTTTTTTGGCCACACCCCAGCTGTGTTGGACTTATTCCCCCAACTGTGCTCAGGACTTATCCCTGGCTCTGTGTTCAGGGATCACTCCTGGTGAGGCTTGTGGATGTTGGGGATCAAACCCTTTTCCTCGGGTGGTACTCAAGGGTTATGTCTGGCACTGCACCCCGGAGATCCCCACTTATTCCTGTGCGGCCATGTGGGATGTTGAGGATGGAACTTGAGTTGCTGTGTGCCAGGCAAATGCTGTACCATGGTCAAGGCAGGCCCCCTGCTATGCATTTGTGTGACTGCCCATAACGTGCGGTGTGGGAGGATGGTCTGATGGGGACACCCCCTCCTGTCTCTGCACCCCCAGTGGAACTGACCTTGGACCCCGACACGGCCAATCCCCGGCTCATCCTCTCCCTGGATCTCAAGAGCGTGCGCCTGGGCCAGCGCGCCCAGGACCTGCCCAGCCACCCGCGCCGTTTTGACACCAACACGCGTGTGCTGGCCTCCTGCGGCTTCACGGCGGGCCGCCAGCACTGGGAGGTGGAGGTGGGCGCCAAGGACGGCTGGGCCTTTGGGGTGGCCCGCGAAAGCGTGCGGCGCAAGGGCCTCACGCCCTTCACCCCGGAGGAGGGGGTCTGGGCACTGCAGCGCCACGGCGGCCAGTACTGGGCCGTGACCAGCCCCCAGCGGACGCCGCTCAGCTGCGGGCCCCTGTCCCGCGTGCGCGTGGCCCTGGATCTCGAGGTGGGCGCCGTGTCCTTCTACGCTGCCGAAGACATGCGCCACCTTTACACCTTCCGAGTCAACTTCCAGGAGCGCGTTTTCCCCCTGTTTTCCGTCTGCTCCACTGGAACCTACTTGCGGATCTGGCCGTGAGTGTCTCCAGGCCTCCCAGAGACCACCTGGTCGGATTCCTCTCGCTGTTCACAAGACAGAATGTTTGGCCGCTAGCCCCCAAACTTCCTGGCCGTTTTTGGTGGTGGTGGTAGGAAACATAAAGTGGGTGCTCAAGGTTCACTCCTGGCTTTGGGCTCAGGGTCACACCTGGCCAGTCCGGGGGGTTGAACCCTGGTCAGCTCTGTGCCAGGGACATGCTTTACCCACCATCCTCTTTCTCCAGCCCATTTGTTAGATCATACCTGCTCACTCTTCACAAGGGATCATACGTGGTTCCAGGGGTCAAGCCTGGCTCAGCTGCAGGCAAGACAATCACCTTCCTGCTGTCCTATCTTTCCAGCCCCCTTCCTGGCCATTTAGTACTGACCAGCCCTGTTCTACTCCAGGCTGCCCCAGAGGTAGACTAGTGGTGGGTTTGGGGGAGAGTGGTCAGCTGGGCAGAGGAAATTGAGATGCCTTGGACCCTTGGGTCCTGCTCCTGCCTGACCTCAGCATCTTGATTTGGCTGGTGAGAGCTGAGAAGTGCTCCTGGCAGAGAGGTCTCTGCCCTGGTGTTCCTGTCCTCATCCAGCAAGGCTCTCCAGCACCACAGGACAGCACAAGACTTGGCCCTTCGTTGATCTCAATTTGCCCACATCCTTCCACCAGCAGTCTGCCTTCTGGAACCTGGCTTGAGCTGCATGCTTAGCTCCCAGTTTGAAAGGTTTAGAATTTCCCACAAGGGGGCTAAGCCCAAGACAGGAGCATTTCCCCCCAGCAGCATTTCCACCGCCCCCCCTCCCCCCCCTTAAAGCCCTAAAAGGTGCTTGTCACCTCAGCTGTGGAGAGCCAATTATTGTCAATGGCCTAACCCCCTTTCAAATGCTAAAGTACAGGCACTGATGGGATGGTACAGCAGGAAGGGGCTTATCTTGCAAATGGCTGACCCAGGTTTGATTCCTGGCACCCAAGAGCATCTCCAGGAGTGATCTCTGAGCACAGAGCGAGGAGTAAGCCCTTGCTCAAATAAGGGTCAGAGCACAATTTTCCTTGGGTAAGGAGAAGTTTCAAGATTCTGAAACAGAGGACAGCAACACAATTTAATGGATGCATGACTTTGATCGTGGTTTTCTGGCACTTGACAAAACATGTCAATCAAAGAGAACCTTTGTATCATGGCCTGCTCAGCCCAGCAGACTATTTGTTCTTTGGCAAACTGTTCCTTAGCTTCTGTTTAGGGTGGTGGCAGTGGTGGGGGTCCCCTGCTCAGTTGTCCTCAGGGAGATGGAAATACAGACTGTGAGTTCATTTCTTGTGTGGTCTGGCTCATTCCGGACTCTCATAGTGTCAGGGGCTAGAGTTCCAGCAGGGAAGGCACTTAGTGTCCCCTGAACACCTCCAGGAGTGACTCCTGAGTGCTGAGCCAGGAGTAACCCCGAGCCAAAAAATAAAAACAAAACAACAACAACAAAAAAACTGCAGCAGGGTTTTGGCGTGAAACCCCATGCTTGCACAAATTTGTGTATAAGAGTGTGGACCCCATGCTTCTATTTCTGTGGGGCTCAGGGCTCAGGTGTTTTTCTGAGAGGGCCTTTATGAGCACATGCAAGCAGCTCTTAGCAATTGGGTCTTACCTCATTATCGATAAGTTGTTAAAATCAGTCACCTGGTATTTTGGTGAGGGTAGCAGATATCACCAAGGCCTTCCCCACCTTCTCTTCCTACAGCAAAGTCCATCTCGGACCTAATTCACTTTTTGTATGTCTTTTGTTTGTTTCTGAGGCCACACCCGGCGGTGCTCAGGGCTTACTCCTGACTCTGCACTCCGGGGTCACTCCTGTTGGGCTTGGGGGACATTACTCGGTGCCGGAGATTGAACTGCGGGGAGTGGGGTGGGGGCGGCCGGCGGGCAAGGCAAACGCCCCCTACCCTCAATCTTGTAGGCCTTTCCGGTTCACAGTCTAGGGAGACCCTCAACCTGCTGCCGGGAACCTAAACCCCGAGGTCCAGCTGGGACACCCTCGGCTTGTAAACTCCGACCACTGTCGTCCTCTCGCCCCCGATACTCCCACCACCTCCCACGTTTCCAGTCATGATGGGCCTAAAACACACTTCCCCAAACTCCTCGTTTGCAGAACTCGTGCAGCCTGGGCTTCTGACTCGCGGCACCCTATCACAGAGCGCTGCGCGGCGAGCTCCCGGCCGTCCCGGGGCCCGGACATCAGAGGCCACGCCCACTAGAGACCACGCCCACAACATGCCACGCCCACCAGAGGCTGTGACTCCGGCAGAGGCCACGACCCACTGAGATCACGCCCCAAAGGCCCGCCCCGCCGCGCGGCGCTCCGCGCACACGCGTATTTCCGCCCTGGTTCTCTCCCGACAGGTTCTCTTACCCGCACGGGCCCCTGGCCACGCCCCTTTAGGTCCCGCCCCTCTAGGCCACGCCCCACGCGTTTGTCACCGCCCTCTCTTCAGCGACTTCCGGAGGATCCGCGCTCCGCCTCGCTCGAGGTGACT